CCCGCGGCGGCTCGTTAGGAGTGAGAACAATTGCTACATGCAGCCCTCTTGAAGGTGACTCAGCTAGGAGTCAACTGCTGGTTATGAATGAACAGAGACTGACGGGGCCAGGTTTGCTGGGACATCGGGTCGTCGGGGCCCAGGGAACAGGGGGGAGCTTGCTAGCATGAGGGAGGAGAGACTGGAGGGGAGGTGAGGGGTAGAGAAAGAGAGGAGCAGCGCAGAGTGTTGCGCACTGCACGGTTGCCGCCGTGTCGTGCAGCTGCTAGACTAGTCGAGTTTCCTGTCAGCTGCTGTTAGGGGTGTGTCACAATACAGTAGTCGGTTTACCGTTTTCGCTGTTTTTTAAATCGCTCTAAAACGCAAAGCAGCGCACTGAACCGCAACAGCGAGTTATCTTGCGACACGAGGGGGATCATGAGTGGTATAGTACGGTACGGGTCCTCCTTCCCCCCACCCCCCTCCCTGCCACCGTGAATGGTCTCGTATGGTACGGTACACCTGGCCCGCTCTAATTTCACACTTAGTATTTTCACCCGCCGTTTCGCCGAAGGGCTGTCACCCTCCGAAAGAGGCGGGTCTCGCAACCCCTGGAAAAAACGGCATGCTTGGATTTCTAGACTACCATTGTTTGCCGCGTCTCTTCTCCCATCTCTTAGTGTTTTCTCAGAAGTCATCAGTCATCTACTTGTTGACCCGAGCCTTCCGTGTCGAGACTGCGAGCCGCTGGCTCGAGCCCACCGTGAACACGGGAATGCTCTCTGCGGACCCAGAAAAGGTCAGGGCAGAGTCGAAACGTTTACTGCCGCTCATTTTCAATCTCTAAAATTACAGCGGGCCAGGTGTAAGGAGTTTCATGGGTACAGGCTGGGACAACCATTTGGCAGGTTCAAAGCTGTCACAGACAAGGGTGACTAGGATGAATTACCTTTTGACCACACTATAAAACGTAGAGCCGTACTAAACCGTCGACCACCCAGTAACGACATGGGCCAAACAACTGCGTTTGTTTAGGCGGGAGTGTAAACGACGACTATCCTTGACTTCCCCTCGCGCACGAAGGGGTGGGGAAGGAAGGGGGGAGTGGGGGAGGGGAGGAGGGGGGGGGGGTGGTGGGGGACCACAAATGGAGCACGGAGAACCGTTCATTGGACGGCTTTTACGGCGTTGTCACAAGGGTTCATCTTACCCCTACCAGACCGTAGTGAAATATTTTGTACTAGCTCCAAAACGTTCAGAAGCGTACTCAACCGTGCTAAAATGAACTCATATGACGCCCTTAGAAATTTGGTCTGACACTTGCCATGCCAGGAAGTCCCGATTCGCCATGTCCAGAGTCGTTCAAGCAGACATCTGCGGAGAATGACATGTGACGCCTCACTTATTCTACGGACTATGGCATGCATCCCTAGGGAAACCGTAGACACCCTTGACCACCACAGGTCGACTCGACTACAAACATCCCATAAGTTCCGTTACTGACTGCTGTCTCAGAAAGACAAACTTCTTATAGGTCCATCCATATCTCAATTATAGATGCTACTAAAATGGTTTTTTACATGAAAAGCCCCTTCACTGTACAATGGTAGCCCGGCATAAAATAGTTAGTAAACCCCGAAATCCTTGACAAGTCTCATGTCACAGAACAATCTTGAGGATGGAGTACACTACAAGAGCGACGAAGACAAGCCCAGCCGCAAGCATCATGACAAGGAGCATGTTGCATGTGTTGTCTGATCGGCGCATGAATATGGACATCTTCTTCTTGGCCAACTGTGATGTGACAATGGAGGGGAAAAGGTGGGATCGAGAGACTTTAGGCATGTACCTGAATCAGTTCCTAGAATTGTAGTGAAAATTGTGAGAGGGAGGGATAAGGCAGGGTGAGAGAGGGAGGGAGCAAGAGAGGGGAGGGAGGGAGGGAGGGAGAGAGAGAGAGAGAGAGAGAGAGAGAGAGAGAGAGAGAGAGAGAGAGAGAGAGAGAGAGAGAGAGAGAGGGGGGGGGGGGGGGGTGCGGGGGGAGGGGGGGGCAGGCTGTGAAATATGCACAAGGAAAAACCCACCTGCACACGAGCATTTGTTGACTGGAGGTTGTCATCCAAATCATCCTGCACGGGCAAAATGCAAGCCAAGTACAATCAGTATTTCCAGCACAAGAAACGAGCTCCAGTCAAACCACCACGACTGCATACTATCACAGAGAACACAGGCGATTCCGGCCCTTTTTTAGGTGACTCAAAATTCACCTAGTTACTGCCTCTGTGAACACAGGTGATTCCGGTGCTCAACAGGGAAAGGGGAATCGATCAAGTAAACCAGCACACCCCAGCAAACGTCCTCAGACGCTCGCACAACCAGCACATACCAGCAAATGTCGGTGTAAATCCAGCTCCCCATTGATGGTCAGAGCGATGTGCTTGGTGGTTGCCACCGTCGACTCCAGCTCCTCCAGCTCAGAGTCTTGCTCTGCTCACGATGGCATGGCATGGCATGGCATGGCATGGCATGGCGTGGCAGGTGAAAGGCAATAAAATAAAGCAGAGAGAAGACTTAAGAAAAAAGGGAAAGACATTACTACAGCATTTAACGAAGGAAGGTCGGTCTACACAACTGGAAGGAGTTAGGACCCGTGCCAGGCAAGAACCATGGAAGGAAAAAAAGCCAGTGAGCCCTTCGACTGGAAAGAAGGCCACAGCAGGAGAGCAAGCGATCAGCACCATACCTTGTATGATCTCTTGCTGCAGAGCCACGAGACCCCTGTTATCCCGTGAGGCTGTTCTCTCCGTCTCCACCGCCACCAACGGCCGCCCGTCTCGGCCAAGCAGGGCGGACCTGAAGAACGTGGGAAGAGAAAGCGCAGCAGACTGTTTGAAACTCCACTCCCGTCAAGCAGCGGACCGTTTGAACAGCTGCCATGTCCTTCGGGATGAGTGACATGAACGAACCATGCAATAGGGATGAATCAAGGGGACGACGAACCTGTTAGCGGCGGATTGCGCGGAGGTGAGCACGGCTGCCATCTCCTTCGCCTTGAACCGAAGAGCGAGAAGGAGGTCTTCCCGTCGCCTTACCTCCGTGGCGTTGCTGCAGGGTCAAGTGGGAGAGAGAGCGAGTGCAGGGACGGGACGTAAAAAAGCAGGAAATCCTTTTCAAGTCGACTAACTAGCACCAGTGTTACTACAACGTGAAAGCACTCAAGCTTTGTAACTGCCCGCTAGCACCTGTCAACTCAACCGGGTAAGTAGTTCACGCGTGTCCGCTTAACCTCCCTGACAGTCATCTTAAAACTACCGGCTACGAGGAGCTCGCAGTTGACTTTTGAGTCGACTCAAAAGTCACCTCGTCATCTTAAAGCTAGCGGCCACGAGGAGCTCACAGTTGCGACTTCTCTGCTGCGGCTCGAAGCCCCGTTTCTAGCCGGTCCGATTTCGCCATAAGCATCGCAATCTTCCGCCGAGCTGCAGCGACTAGACGCGATGGGTCCCCTTTGGATTTTATCGCGTCGTTTCTTTCCTGAATGAGTCCTGCCACGTCATCCGCCATCCTGGAAGCATCCGAGAAGTCTCTGACCCATGGGTCCGCAAAGTGAGCCATGCTGCTGCTGCTGCTGCTGCTACTAACCCTAATGGAGCCGAGAGGAAAAGAAGGCTACAGAAACGAATATCGAAAGCCTAAGAACCTTAGACGGCAGCTATTTACAGATGAGAAGTATCTGATGGCACGTCTGGACAACTGGGAGGCTGTTAGGCGTGAGAGTATGTACGCTGGAGGCGGTTAGGCGTGACAATATGTACGATAGAGCGAAAGCAGCGACAAACGTCTTTGAAGAAGCCAGGACTAGAGTGGACAAGAACCAGAAGAGGTGAACGAAGATTCGGAGGCTGCTTACTGCGAGTGGAAACCCTAGCTGCCAGGTTGTTTGTTACTTCAGTCAAAACAGGCAGAAGCATAGCCAAAACTGAGGGGCATTTGGTTCACGATCAGCTTCAGTCACAACTCTCGAGTGGCTACTTACCTGGAACTGGGTTAGCCACCGTGTATCACCACAATTCAACACACTGTATCTTACCGCAACGTCCAGCACCCTGAAATGAGTTATATGGCAGCAAGGTTTCCGCACCAACCACCTGACAACCAGCTGAATCCTGGTGGTGTGGTGGAGGTGGAAGTGCAGAAGTGGTGTGGTGTGGAACAGGGCTCTCGGTTCAAGGGCAAACATCCGGAATGTCAGGTACATTCCGGGTCTTTCCCGCTGAAATCCTGATTTTGAGGGTTTCGGACTCACAAACATTCTGACTGATTCCGGGCGTTTCCAAGGAACTCCCCGAGCCATCCGGATTGCGCGAAAATCTATCTTGGCAATCCGACTGGCATGGAAACTACCTGTGCTGGAAATTGCAACCCTTCCCTACCACCACCCCCCCCCCCCCATTCCTTCACAACCCTGACCAATTTTCCACACAATCTTAAGGTGCGACCCGTGGAACTTTCACAACTACAGATTAGCAGCGGTCAGACTATAACCTTAGCCTGGTTCCGCACTGTCCCTCTAAGCTGTACGCATTTCTGTCGCGACTAAGGTAAGTGTCGAACTTGGTGTAGTGGTGAGGGACAGCAGCAGCAGCAACTGTGTTTATTCTTCATCGTTTCTTCCATCGATGTCCTTCCTGCTTGTACTCGAAGTGCCCACAGGTTCCGCTGATATGTAGGGAGTCCCAAAAAACACTCTGAATTTCAGATTGAAAGGTGAAAGTAATCCTGAAATAAAGAGAGATTTTCCAGGGAATGCTGAATTTTCAGGGTCTTTAGTGACGCGAATCCTGAGACCGCTGGTGCGGAAGTGCGCGACTGGCGGGCTTCACTGACGGTTGGCTGACGATGGGTGCCGGTTATCGCGCATGGCTTCGTCTGACCGTCAGCGACGGGGGCTACAAACATTTGCTTCAGCTGCAGCTGTCCGCGCTTGTGCCTGTGAGAAAGCTTTGGACAAGCAATTTGGTCGACGTATGCAGCACCACTACAAGTTCCTCTATTACACATTCAATATGCAATATAATCTTTGACGTCCCTTCATGCTCTACACCACCGCAATATTTTGCCTACCACAAATTACGTAACAGTACACTAGAGAACAACGTAAAATCTCTCGCTGCCTGCCAACTTCAAGCACTGAACTGAAGACTAACAGCAGATGTGCAAGTTGCAACCACCATGAAGCAAATCACTCAAAGCTTTGCCATGGAAGATGCTTGCTTCGGTGCTCCCTGCAAGATGCACGAACAAGATGCAAGTTACTTCCAATCATACACTGACCCACCCAAAAGTAACTCGGCTCTACCCATGCACCCAACAATGCAAAGACATCCTAGCTCAGGGTAGGGTTCTAGGAAGGGTGAGTGAATACGCCACCAGTTATCCACTCACCAGCTTGATCCCTCGAGCTGACCGCTCAAGCAGGTAGTTGCATGGCTTGAAGAAGCCTCCATATGCCTGTGACCATGTGGTGAGCCGATCCGCAATGTACTTCGCCCCAATCAGGTCAGCCCAAAAGACCAGGCCACCCCTGCAAAGAGAGAGGGAAACAGCAGAAACATACAGAAGAAAGGGTGTCCCAAAGTTGAGCATTGCTGCATATGAACTGAACAACTGGATGAAAGAGATGTCCCAAGCAGGGACATCGGACGCCCACGATAACAGACCAAAAATGCATGTCTGCAACCATGCAGGCCCATCCAAACACCAGTAGGAGGGGAAGCCCACGGCTTACACTCACCGGTTGGGTGGGAAGCCCACGGCTTACACTCACCTGTAGGATGGGAAGCCCACGGCTTACACTCACCGGTAGGGTGGGAAGCCCACGGCTTACACTCACCGGTAGGGTGGGAAGCCCACGGCTTACACTCACCGGTTGGGTGGGAAGCCCACGGCTTACACTAATCGGTAGGGTGGGAAGCCCACGGCTTGCACTCACCGGTAGGGTGGGAAGCCCTCGGCTTACACTCACCGGTAGGGTGGCAAGCCCATGGCTGACACTCACCGGTAGGGTGGCAAGCCGGTGGGAAGCTCATGGCTTACACTCACTGGTAGGGTGGGAAGCTCATGGCTTACACTCGCCTGTAGGGCGGGAAGCCGATGGACATGACAGTGGCGACCTCCAGATCAGAGGCGCACACCACAATGCTCTCGTCCAGCACACGGCACGCCTCGATACCACTTACCAAAAGAGAATACCTTCACTCGTGCCTCTCACCGGTAGGGCGGGAAGCCCATGGACATGACAGTGGCGATGTCGAGGTCCGAGGCGCGCACCACGATGCTCTCGTCCAGCACGCGGCATGCCTCGTTCACCACGGTGAAGAAGATCATCTCCACAATGTCCTTGTCAGATAGGGTAACGGGCTTGCCGCCCGGCTTGATGTTGTTGTACTTCCCGGCCTGCTCCACAAACTCCTTGATTGCAGGGTCAGGGCGCTGGCGCCTCTTGCTGTCGTAGAGGTAGAAGCCCTTGCCTGACTTCTCCCCTGCTCATGCACACATACATGTAATGAAGAAATACGGTGAAGAAGTAAAAAAAAACAGAAACAAAAAAAAGGGACAAAAAAGCATCATTTGTGCTTCCCATATATTGCTACTTATGGGGTCAGTTATGACAGAATACAGCACAAGCATGCACGAAGCCTCGAAGGAAGCTTTCGAAAGGAAGAAAAAAACTCAGGAAACAGGTATGCAGGAAGCCTTACCGAAGCGTTTAGCCTCGACCAGAAGGGGGATGAGAGCAGCCTTGTAGGCCCGCTCAGGGAAAGCAGTGACGAACTGAGTCCCCACTGCCTGCCCCACCTGCATTCCCACCAGATCAGCCAGCCTGCAGCAAAGCACCATCAGAGAAACAAGCAAGAATACAGAGAAGCAGACAGGGGATGAATGAGCGCAATCCCAAGGATCGTCTAAGGGAACAACGATCGTCCAAGGATGAATTCGAGGTTTAGGATAAGAAGCAAACGGCGAGCCATGTCGATGACCCGGTCAATGTGGTAGAGATCAACTTGCAGGTCCACCAGCAGACAAGCCGCCATGGTGTGGGGAAAGAAGACGCAGTTGACAGCCTTACCGATTGACAGCCTTACCCGGGTTGATGATCTTACATGTACAGGAAAACTAGGTGGCACAGGTGAGGCAAAGGAACCTGAACAGCCCCATGGGCATGCCGAAGGCCTTGATGACCCGGTCAATGCAGTAGAGATCGACACCCAGTTGCATGAGCAGGCACGCCGTCATGGTGTAGGGGAAGGACACGTGGTTGACATGCACGTAGTTACATCTATGAAAGAACTTGGTGCCACTGGCAAGGGGCAGGTACCTGAACGGCCCCATGGGCATGCCAAAGGCCTTGATGGCCCGGTCAACGCAGTAGAGGTCCAATCCCAGGTCGACAAGAAGGCACGCCACCATGGTGTCGGGGAAGAAGACGCGGTTGACAGCCTCACATTCTTTAAACAAGAAGGCCCAGAACACAATGGCCCCAGACTCACCTAAAAGGCCCCATGGGCATTCCAAAGGCCTTGATGACCCGGTCAATGCGGTAGAGGTCCACTCCCAGGTCCACCAGCAGGCACGCCGCCATGGTGTAGGGGAAGAAGACACGGTTGACAGCGAAACCCGTGCAGTTTCCCACCACGACCGGCGTCTTCTTGATGGTTTTTCCAAGGGTAATGAGGTCCAGGATGGCCTGAGGGGAAGTCCTGTCCGTGCGGACCACCTCCAGCAGCGGCATCACATGGGCAGGGCTGCAAGCAAGCATTCAAACGTGAAAAAGAGCAGGAGAACGAGCAATGTGTACTGAAGGCAGGGCGTGCTGAGGTTCAATACGGATTTAGGGGAGGGGTCCTGCCTATGCAGACCACCTCTAGCTGGGGCATCCCATGGGCAGAGCTGCAACAATGAAAGGACGTGGCTGGGGCGGGGAGGAGGGAGGGAGGGGGGGGAGAGGAATGGCACTCACATCTTGGGACTAACCAAACTATAATTGTTCTCTCATTGACGCAGTTATCACTTACCTGAAGAAGTGTGCGCCAATTATGCGATCTTGGGAGCGGGTCTTGGCTCCCACGACGTTGAGGTCGATGGTGGACGTGTTGGAAGAGAGGATGCATGCAGGATTGCACACCCTCTCCAGGTCCTGGAAAATCTGCTGCTTCAGCGGAATGCTCTCGATTACAGCCTGCATTACACAAGACGTGCATGTAAAAGCAGCACATTTGGAAATGTAAGCTGTATGATGACGAACATTGCCGATTAGTGCAGCAGAAGTGTTAATATTGGAGTTCTGAGCTTTTCTCTGTCTCACCTCGATAACCAGATCCACGTCAGCAAAATCGTCGTAGGAGAGTGTTCCTTTGAGGAGGGACAGAATCTTATCCACTTGATCCTGGGTCAATCTTCCCTTCTTCAGCCTGCCTTGGAAATTGGCTGCCACAAGGAACAAAGGAGGACATGCTAGGAGTCATTATCATCGACAACATCAATCTTAATCAATCCATCACGCACCGGATCTTAAACAGCAGACGGCACCGGAGGATGAATGTACCAGGCCAGAACAAGAGTGGGACACAACATCGCTCACCCTTGACACGCTCCATTCCTCGCTGGAGCAACCCGGAGACGTGAAAATGACAATAATCTACATTTCAGGCTCCTAAACAATCTAGAGAATGTGCGGACACGTTAACACGCATACCCTTGACACACGGTCCAATCCTTGCTGCAGGAACTGGGCGTTAACCTCCATGAGGATGACTTGGATCTAGGCGAATCTTGAGTCAACTCAAGACTGAGGTCCCCTATGTGACAACTCAAAACTCACCCTTGACACGGTCAAATCCTTTCTGCAGGAACTGCACGTTGACCTCCTAGGGGATGACTTTATTGATTCTACATTTGAAGCAACTCTGCCTTTAGAAATCAAGTGGAAAAGTGGACACAACATGCTCACCCTTCACGCGGTCCAATCCTTGCTGCAGAAACTGCTCGTTGACCTCCTTGAGGACGACTTGGATCTTAGCCGTGATGAGCGCGGTGACGATTCCAGAACCCATCAACCCCCCTCCAATCACTGCCACCTTGCGAATGGGCCGTGGCTTCAAACCCCGATCAGTGACTCCGGGAACCTGAATGCACAAATTCAGTGATTAGATCAGTCATTCAGCTCCGCTCCTGAAACGCTAATTTGTACCCCTGATTCCCAACGCTTTTGACCTTTGGTGTAAGTAACTGAAACTGGTGAAGTGAAACATTGTTCACTCATTTACATCAAAGCTGTTGTACCCGTAACATACCTTGGTCGTTTGTCGCTGGGCAAAGAAGATATGCGTCAGGGACTTGGCAGTGTCAGCAAGAACAAGTTCCAAAAAGACCTCCTCTTCCTGCAAGCAACACAAGGATTCAAACGGAACTTCACGTTTACGAGATGGTAAACGAGATGCAATCTCTCTCAGGTCAAGAGATGGTGATGAACAGCAACACGTGATTACTTTTATTTTAGAGAAATTTCAACACGTACCTTGAGATTGCCAGCATACCCTCCATGTGTCACGCCATACTCCATGGCATCCAAGCACCGCAGCGGATGCGTGAGGTTAGGAGCCGTCTGAACCGCCTGAGCCCTTGCAAACTTGAAGATAGCTCGAGCCTCGCCAAGGCTCTCGATCCTATCGTTCCTCTCAAGCGTCTTCAGCCACGGCTTCCTGCCGCTGGCGATATCCAGGGCCCACGCCTTGGCGGTGGCCAGCAGCGCATTGCTGGGAACGATCTGATCGACCAGACCAGCTTTGAGTCCCGCTTCAGAGGTAATCGGCTTGGACATCTGGAACGAAAAAGGGGGAAACACAAACGCGTTAGAACGACAAAACAGGGGAATAAACCGGACCACTTCTAACGAGACAGTATGCGGAAGAGACTCACCAGGATCATTTCTATCGCCTTCTGTAGGCCAACCAGGCGAGGCAAACGCTGAGTGCCTGGACGGGGCCAACACAGCCAAGCAAGATGTCAGGAACGGGTCACCACCAACCTGATGAGGCATACAAATCTTCTCAAACGCATGTTTATCCTAGCGGTCGTAGGTCAGTACCTCCAAATCCAGGAATGATGCCGAGCTGCAGTTCCGGAAGCCCCAGCTGGGCCTTAGGTGCAGCGATTCTTGCATGGCAGGACTGACATCAACAAGAACGAAGAAACACAACAATCATGAGGTCCAGGAACGAGTCGAGTAGTCGTGCGTGCTTAGTTGGAGACATGCATACGCATTCTGGAGCAAGCTACTAAGGAATTGTGATGTGCGTACCAGAGCAAGCTCCAAACCACCGCCTAGAGCAAGACCCTCAACAGCCGCCACAACTGGCTTCGAGCCACCTGCAATGCAAGATTGTCGTGTGTCAGAATCGATGAGAACTCCCCCGAGGATTAAATGCTGGAATGTGCAATACCTTCAATGGTTTCCACGAAGAGCGGGACTGACGGCCTAACCATAGAGTCCATATTCCCTGTAACGGGGACAGCCAACGTTCAAAAAGTCGAAACATGTCAGCTACGGTTCTTGAACGTTCAGCGCTACAGTGCTAGAAACTTGACGGAAAGTTCAGCGCCACCTTGTTCCTGAACTGCGACGATCGCCGAAATGTCGAAGCCGCCTGAAAACTTGCCATTGGTTCCTGCAATAGCAGTAACGAAAGAAAATCAGGGCGAGCTGTTGCTATGGATGTAAAGGATCGACTGGGGGGATTCATATGTCTGGAGACGGAGCCTGACAGCAGGTACCGGGTCGTGGTTTACCAGTTACAACGATGGCCTTCACGTCGCTCCTCCGATGCGCCTCGTCAAACGACACCTTCAGTCCGAGTAAAACTGCAGACAAGAGCGTGAAGTTAAAGTTCAGAAGATGAATACGGAAGAAACTTAGAAAGCTTAAGGCGAAGCTTTGACTGTAGGAAGTGTGATCCAATTTAGGAGCGGAGATGCATTGATACCTTCAGGTGCGAGAGCATTCACAGGAGGGTTGTGAATTTCGATGACAGCCACCCCATCAAAGCCCACGTTGAGCTTAACCTTTGGCGTCGCCATTACTTGCGGTCCGATTCGCAGTAACCGAAAGAAACTTACGACCAAGGGAAAGGACGCCTAGGCAACCTCGTGTGTGCGGGCGAAAGCAGCTGGTAAGCTAAGAAATTCGGTCCAGCTCGGAACGGAAGCTTACTGAAGCTGGAAATGAAAGACGGAGAATGAAAGAAAGGTGGTGACAGGCGATGCAATGTTGTTCCTTGATGTTGGTTCTGGCAGTTTCAGTTCCACGTCAGATAAGGTGTGTTTGTCCCAGGCACATGTCAAGGTTGGTCCGTGCTGACGTGCGCTAGGGAGAAGCTGACGAGAATGGTCCCAGCGATAGCCCTGCTCAACCCACCGACAATGATGCCGAAACAAAGCAGCTTTACGACTCCTTTCGTATTTTCCTGAAACCATTCTTCTACGCCGTTTTATACAAGACTACGCCTTACACCATAAAGCGTACAAAACTCGTAGCCACGTGGCAAGAATGCCCCACCACAGCTTCCACCATCGAGCCGCGCGGAACAAAAATCGAGGGACATGCGGCGCGCTTCAACCAGCCGAACCTCACGAAAACACTCAATTGAAGCAGCGAGCGAAGCATAGAGTACCCAAATCGAGAACCGAACATGTAGGCCTGTCATCACAACATACACAGCAGAATAACGTGAGGGAAGGGAAGGGAACCTCATGGCAAAGCATTGAACCAATCTCGATGTCCTCGTGTATTGATCACGACAGGCAGTCTTTCCGCAGTCTTCTCCTGAAACTTGCAGCTTAGGGACGTAACGCCATCGATCATTACTTAGAACCCTCCCGTATTTGGGGTTTCACGCACCCGTTGAACCCGTCGAGAAGGATATAAGGGGAAAAAAAATATTACAAAGTTGGAAGTCAATAGTGAGGCAAGAAAGCGGCCTTACGTGCGGGAGAAGTCCAGCCGCGCACAATCTCGATGGGGAAGCGAACGACGGTTATTGTTGGGAAGCGTGCGATCAACGAGATGGCGATACCAGTGCCCGCGCCGGCCGAAGCGGCTGCGGAAATCGACATTGGGAGCGTCTCGAAAGCGCAGAGGGAGTCGCGGCGTGTATATGCGCGCAAGAAGAAGCGGGTTTCTGAAGAAGAAAGAGGAAAATCCTTCAAGAAGCAGAACTTCGCGAGCGGAGCTAATAATGAGGACGCGAATAGTGGAAAAGCCCTAGTGGTTTACGAAGCCCCCGCGGGTTCTGAATTAAAGGGTTCCGAAAACATGGATGTTGAAGACGAGCCGCGAGTTGAGATCACTCCGTTAGCCCTTGTGCCTTTGGAAGAACCGAGGAAACAGGCGACGGAGTTGCGCATGCTACACTCGTACTCGTTGTTAATAACGAGTGAGTTTACAGCGGAGATGAGGGAGATGGCGGGAGGACCCGAAACGGCGAGAATAACTCGCGCTGGGAGAAGGAAGGCGACGGAAGGGAGAGAAGTTGGAGGAGTGGGAAGCGGTGCTGGAGGAAGTAGTGGGGGGGGAGAAGTAAGGATGGAGTGGGTGGGTAAGGAAGTGAGGAAGGGGCTGGGAAGGAAGGGAAAGGGGAAGGTATCAACTCGTGACGTATCGGTGGCGGGAGGCAGTGACTGGGAGACGGAGCGTGAGAAAGCGGAGAGGGAGCGCAAGGAAGCGGACAAGGAGCGCGAGGAAGCGGGCAAGGAGCGCGAGGAAGCGGAGGGTGGGCGAGAGGAAGCGGAGGCGGAGGCCTGGGGTAAATCAGAGTCGAAAGTGGTGCTGGGGGAGGTGGTAGAGACGGCAGAGGCGGTAGAGGCGGAGGAAGTGGTACAAGCGGAGGAGGTGGAGCGGGCAGGTGCGGCGTTAGAGGCGGAGGAGGCGGTAAAGGCGGAGGAGGCGGAGGAGGCGGAGGAGGTGGAGCGTGCAGTTGGCAAAGATGTTCACTATGAGGCGCCTAAAAACGCGGCGGTAGAGGCGGTAGTGGCGGTAGAGGCGGAGGAAATGGCGGAAGGGTTGGGCAAGCGGCCAGGCCCGGAAGGGAAGATGGGGCTTCAGGAAATGGGAGGCGCGCGGAAGCAGGCCAGGGAGCTGCGCATGCTGCACTCGTCGTCGTTGCTGATGGCGTTGGGAGCCGGGGGACGGAGGCGGTGTCTGCGCCGGCAGCAGCAGGCGGCGGAGGTGGGGAAGGCGGCGAAGATGGGGAAGGCGGCGGAGATGGGGAAGCCAGTGCTTGTGGTGAAGTTTGGGGGTTTCGGGGGGGTGGAGGCGGAGAGGGAGGGGGGAAAGGCGGCGGAGAGGGAGGGGGAAAAGGAAGCGGAGGCGGAGGCAGGGAACGAATCGGAGGGAAAGGCTGCTGATCCGCGGAGGGGATCCCCCGCTTGTGTGGGCCCCCGTCAACTCCTCGCGGGGAAGATGGATGGGGGTAAGGTGGCTGCAGGGAAGGCGGATGCGGGGAGGGGGAGGGCGGATGGGGGGAAGGTGGATTGTGGGAAGGCGGATACGAGAAATGCGAAAGGTGAAAACACAGGAGAGGCGGGGAAGGCGGAATGCGATGCGGCGGAGGTGGATCTAACCGAGGAGGGGGAGGAGAGAGAGAAGAGGGAGGAGGGGGAGAGGGGGGAGAGAGAGGAGGAAGATATGGTTGTAGAGGTGGAGGTGCACAAGGGGGTGGAAGTCAATGGGGAGGTAGAGTTGATTGGGAGGGTGGAGGTGAATGGGGGGGGCGCAGGGATTGGGGGGGACGATGGTAGGGAGGGAGTGGTAGAGGGAGTGGTAGAGGGAGTGGTGGAGGGAATGGTGGAGGGAGTGGTGATGGAAGAGCGGAAGGGAGAAGTGGATAGTAAGGAGAGCAAGCAGGGGGAGGAGGATAGTAGGGAGGTAGAGGAGGAAAGGAAGGTGGGGAAGGAGGATTGTAAGCTGGGGGAGGAGGATAGTAAGCAGGGGGAGGAGGAAAGGGAAGTGGGGAAGGAGAGTTGGATGGGGGAGGACACAGCAAGAAGGGTGGGCAGGGAGGGCAGAGCAAGCAGCGTGAGCAGAGAGGGCAGGGCAGGGTTACCAGGTTACTGCGTAACAGGGCGACTCTGAAGAGGGTGGAACCAGAAAAGGGGCTTGGGCGCACCCTGGGAAGGCGGCAGGCGGTGGAGATGGAGGGGGAAGGGGCGGGGGAAGGGGCGGGGGAAGGGGAAGGGGAGGGGGAAGGGGAGGTTGGGGAAGGGAAGGTTGGGGAAGAAGCGAAGGGGTGGAAGGGTAAGAGGGTTGCAGAAGGGATGGGGGAGAAAGAAGAGGGAGGCGGGGGTTGGGGGGAAGGGGGGCGGAACGAAGGGATGAGACGGATGAGGAAGTGGAGGAGGTCGCTGCGAAGGAGCCTGAGGCGGGTGCAGGGAAGGGGGAGAGTGTGGGGAAGGGTTGGGGGAAGGGAGTGGGAAAGGGTGGTGGGAAGGGAGTGGGGAAGGGAGTGGGGAAGGGTGGGGGGAAGGGTGGGGGAAAGGGATCGGGGAAGGGTGAAGGGATTGGGGGAAGTGGGGGGAGTGGGCGGGCGGGAAGGACTAGGGGGAATGTGGCGAAGGCAGAGGGGAGGGGGGGTACTGTAGGGGGGGATGGGGCAGGAGCGGGAAGGGGAAGGAGGGGGGGGAGTGGCGGAGGAAAGGTGAGAGGGAAACGAGGAGGAAAAGGAGATGTTGGTTCGGGAGGGGAGTGCGGGGGAGGAACGAGGAGGGACGAGAGAGGGGCAGGCGGGGGAGAGGCAGGCGGGGGAGAGGCAGGAGGGGGAGAGGCAGGAGGGTCCGGAGGGGAGGGAGTGGGAGGAGCTGGGGGAGTGGGAGGAGGGGGGGGAGTGGGAGGAGGGGGGGAGTGGGAGGAGAAGGAGGAGTGGGAGGAGAAAAAAGAGGGAGAGGAGGAAGGGTGAGAGGGGAGCGAAGAACAAGAGGAGAACGAAGAGCAGAAGGCGAAGAAGGAATAGCGGAAGGAGAAGAGGCGGAAAGAGCGGAGGCGGAAGGAGAGGAGGAGGCAGAAAGTAGGGGAGAAAGGGGGGAAGGGGGGGGGGAATGGGAGGAATGGGGGGACGTTGAGGGCGAGGGGGAGCGCACCCCCTATATGGGGGAATGGGGGGGCGGGGGCAACGGGGAGCGCAACGCGTACATAGTGGATCTGGTGGAGGTGGCGCGCATGGGCGGGGAGTACCTGGGGGGGGACGGGTACGAGGACCTGGACCACTTTTTTGTGTTCGAGCACGACAAGTACGACCGCGAGGACTTCGTTTCTGCGCTCGCTGAAGGCAGCCTGAGGGAATACCCCTTCCCCCGCCCCGTGCCCTTCCCCTCCCCCTTCCCTGGTGATCCCAGCCCGAGAGAGTTCCCCTTCCCCTTCCCTGACGTGGGAGCAGGGAGGGCTGCTTCCCTTTGAGGTACTCAACTGCATCATGGAAGGGGGGGGAGAGTGGGGGAGGGGGAGGTAGCGCGCATGGGCAAGGAGTACCTGGGGGGGGACGGGTACGGGGACCTGGACCACCTCTTAGTGTTCGAGCACGACAAGTACGACTGCGAGGACTTTGTCTCTGCACTTGCTGAAGGCAGCCTGTGGGAATAGCCCTTCCTCCACCCCATGCCCTTCCCCTCCCCCTTTCCCCTCCCCCCTTCCCCCTTCCGCCTCCACCCTTCCGCCTTCCCCCTTCCCCCTTCCCCCTTCCCCCTTCCCCCTGCCCTGCCTTCCCTCTCTCAATACTGTCAATTTGCTATCCTGATGGGGTCTGTCTAGAGTTTGGAACCCTTGCACGCCCCTTTCCCTCTTGCTCCTTGTTGATAACTAGCGTAGCTGCCCCTTGCTGCCTTGCTTGACAGGTGGCCAGAGACAACCGAGTGTAACACGTTTGCATCATTGATCATGTTAACTTATTCCAGCACTGCTTACATATAAAGTGTTGCCCGCGTAGATTTTTCTTTCCTGGTTTTGCTGATTTTCAGGGTGTTTTTCTGTACCTACCCTGAAAAATCAGCGTCGGAATCTGGAAAAACGGGGCTTACTAGTTAAAAAAAACAGTACCTACCAACCCTGATTTTCAGGGGGGGTTCAGGGTGCCTTTGGGTAGGTACTAGGTACTACCTAGTGTACCTAGTACCTAGTAGTACCTACCCTGAAAGTAGGTATCCTCCTTGTGTCACATGGCACACAAGGCCTTTGTGTACCTAGTACCTAGTACCTAGTACCTACCCTGAAAGTTCAGTGTGGCCTAAAACGAATCTGAGGGCCTTACCACATGTCACATGGCACACAAGGAGGATACCATACCAAATGACAAATTCTAGGGCCCATGAATGAAAGGCACATGCAACAGCAACTGCAACTAACTACACACTATTCCTTGCTAATGACACATTCTGGTACGCACTGACATCGGCAAGTTACATTCACCAATGTACACTTCCAGGAGTTTGCTTGCCCTTGACCCACTCTCTTTCTCGCTGTTCCCATCTGCCACTCCTCCGCACTCCTCTGCAATCCTCTGCGCTCCCCATCACCCTACTCTCCTATATACACCTGTCCCTCCACCCCACCCCCTTGCACACCATTGCCCCTCACACCTGCTCCCCCCCTCCACCCGCTCATAGCTCCCATCAGCCCCCCATGTAGCAGTGATCCTTTTCACCTCCCCCTCTCCCACCACCCACTGGACAGACAACACACAAGGCCCCTCACCCCTGTCGCGTGTACCTCTCCCCCTCCACCCGCTCATAGCCCCCGTCAGCCCCCCACGTAGCAGTGATCCTTTTCACCTCCCCCTCTCCCACCACCCACGACACCGACAGCACAAACCGCCGGCCCGCCACGAGCTGCAGCGAGCGGGGCGCGCACACCACCACCCCCTGCGGCAGAGCAAACACCGCGTACCGGTCCTCATCGCCCTCCGGCACTCGCCCCATGAACCCAGCCCCTGCTGCTGCCACGTCCACTGCAGTCGGGCGAGCACTGCTCCCATCCGCAGTTTCCCCAGCTGAGGCAGCTTCACCAGCAGCTTCACCAGCAAAAGCGGCAATGGCGGCAGCAGCAGCAGCGCTGTTGGTGCTCCATTCCTCTGCCCAGGACACGTTCTCCCTCTCCTGGACCATGAGGTTGCGAGTGAGAATGGTGCGCGTTCCCACCATCGTCTTGTCATCTAGCGCCGGAACGGGCGGCAGGTGGTCGGGCATACGGGTGGAGACGCCGCCCGGGCCCCACGTGGGCCAGACCCAGTCGGCAGGGCGGCGTTCGTTGGTGTCTAGCGACTCCTCGACAACAACGGAGGCTCTGAACGCCCCGTCTGCCTCGAAGCCTATCACACTGCCGAGGCGAGATGTGGGGGCTGGTGGGATAGGGAGGGGGGCCGGGGGTGGGGAGGAGGGCGGGCGGGAGGGGGAGAGGAGGGAGGAAACAACTCAAGCTCTGAATGCATCGTCTGCCTCGAAGCCTATCACACTGCCGAGGCGACACGTGGGGACTGGAGGGATAGGGAGGGGGGCTGGGGGTGCGGGTGGAGGAGGGGGTGGAGGTGGGGGGGAGATGAGATGCATGGGAGGAAGCGAGTGAGGTACTGAAGGCACCGTCTGCCTCGAAGCCAATCACGCTGCCAAGACGAGACGTGGGGGCTGGAGGGATAGGGAGGGGGGCGGGGGTAGGGATGAGGGGGTAGGGATGAGGGGGTAGGGATGAGGGTGTAGGGATGAGGGGGGGGGGATGAGATGAATGGGAGGAAGCAAAAGAGGTCCGAATGCTCCGTTTTGCTCGAACCCTATCACACTGCCAAGACGAGACGCGGGGGCTGGAGAAATAGCGAGGAACAAAAACGGGAGGAGGAGGGGAGGAAGAGGGGGGGAGGGAGGGGGGAATGAGATGCGTGGGAGGAAACAACCGAGGTACTGAACGCTCTGCTGACGCCGTCGCGGCGCGCTTTGCGGCTGAACACGTGGCACAGTCATGAGGGAACACCACTTGAGTGGCATGACTTTTCGTGGCAGCGACTAAGTAGATGCTTAGAGTAGCAAAAAGCTTGCTTGAAAAAAAATCCCTTGTATTAAAAATTGGTGGTAACCAGTTTCATCTGGCGAATTGCATCCACCTTCATGCTGCGTGGAAACCTGAGCTGAGACGTCTTAAGAAGAGCGGGACTCACTGTGGGCGAAAATAACTCGACCAGCAGGGGGAGCTTGGCTTGATCCAGTCCTCCCCATCCACCACCTCCAGGGGCGCCCAGATGGCATCCGTGTGTGGAAGGGGGATATTGACCAGCTTCAACAGGAGAGGAACTCACTGTGAGAGAAGAAGAACTCGACCAGAAGGAGGAGCCTGATCCCACTTGCCGAGGTGACGTAATGTCACTGACATTCAAGCAGACTCAAAAGCAGAACCGCACCCAAACCAGGACTCACTGTGGGAGAAGAAGAACTCGACCAGCAGAGGCAGCTGGATTCCTCCCTCCCCATCCGCCACCTCCAGAGGCGCCCAGATGGCATCCACCTTCCTGCTGACGTCGTAGCGCCGCGCGTTGAGGTTGAACACGTGGCAGAAGCCGTCTGGCAGGCTGTGCTCCGCCAGGGACATGTCCCACTGCACGCCCACCGTCGGCTGCTTCTTGGCAACTTCCCCCTGATAGTCGTACCAGTCGTTCTGAAGGGAGAGAAGAGATGGAGTGGAGTAGTGATGGAGTGAGAGTGCGTTCCAAGTGGTGTAAGAGTGTGAGGGGAAAGGATGTGGGTGAACCCGTCTGCCAGGCTCTGCTCTGCCAGGCACGGGTCCCATAGCACGCCCACCGTGGGCTGCTTCGTGGCAAGCTCGCCTGGTAGTCGTACCAGTCGTTCTGAGGGAGGGGAGGGGTGTGAGTGTGAGGGAGAGAGTGAGGGCGAAGGAAGTGGGAGAAGCCGCCTGGCAGGCTGTGCTCCACCAGAGACATGTCCCACTGCACGTCCACCGTGGGCTGCTTCTTCGCAACCTCGCCCTGATAGTCGTACCAGTCGTTCTGAAGGCAGAGAAGAGATGGAGTGGAGTAGTGGTGGAGTGAGAGTGCTTTCCAAGTGGTGTAAGAGTGTGAGGGGAAAGGAAGTGGGTGAACCCGTCTGCCAGGCTGTGCTCTGCCAGGGACATGTCCCACTGCACGCCCACCGTGGGCTGCGTCGCGGCAACGTCGCCTTGGTAGTCGTACCAGTCGCTCTGAGGGAGGGGAGGGGTGTGTGTGAGTGTGGAGGGAGAGAGTGAGGGGGAATGAAGTGGCTGAACCCGCAACTCATCTTGAGTGAATCCGCAAGCTGGGTTGGTATGATATGAGCATCCTCAATAACCAACTCATCTGCAATGGCCGGTCGGCAGGCTCACGATTTGGGAAAAGGTGCTGAGGTCGGGTGACGTGGCCCAGAATTTCCGCACGGATTTCATGGATCGGATCTCGTCCCTCGATTCGAACGGCTTCCACGACCGCCATTGGCCGTGCCAGTTGCCAATGAGGCGCGGCGGCGTGCCCCACTGCCAGTGCTCCTCCGGACTCATCTGCCGGAAGGGAGCGTCCCCGCCGTCGGATGCGGGGACAGAGCCAGTCATGGCGGACGATGACGTGGAGGAGGATGACGTGGACGCGACGACGTGTGGTTGGAGGGAGAAGGAGATTGGTCCAGGGAGTGACTTGCTGTGTCTGCCTGAACCTGGAGAGATGGAAAGAAAAAGAGGAAAAGAAGAAAAGGAAGAATAAGGATGAACGCAGCGGCTCGTCAATAGAGGTGAGACGCCTTAAAACTACGCCTTGTATTCGTCCTTTTCCATGTTGACGCCTTAAAACTACACCTCTATCACACGACGGAAAAGGACGAATGCAGGGGCTCTGGTCAACATGGAAGGAATTCCACTTTTGCTGAAGCTCCAATTTAGATCAGTAAACGGTTGTTGAATTCTCGCGAGGGGCAGTAAAAGGACCAAAGGAAAGCTCGCATGTTGCACCTGAATCAGCAATGGAACCGAACAGATCGAATTTGATCAAATTTGATCGAATTTGATCGAATTTGATCGAATTTGATCGAATTTGATCGAATTTGATCGAATTTGATCGAATTTGATCGAATTTGATCGAATTTGATCGAATTTGATCGAATTTGATCGGAATCTGAGAGGACTAGTACCTGTCAGGCGCACGCTCGCGACAGGCCGTCCGTGGAATTCATGCCTGAAGCTTCGAGGCACCTTGCCGTGGATATCGGCAATGCTGACAGCGGCATGCTCGAAAGATGCTGCAGCGCAGACAGTTGCGGCGGAGCTGAGTGACGCCATAGTTTCTCACAGCAGGGTACTCGAGAATGATGTTCAGTTTTCACGGTACCTACCCTGGAGAAATTATGTGAACGTTCCGACAAAGCCAGAGACTTGGGCAATTAGGACGGCGCATTGTGTATGCCACCATTGGAATCACGAATCTGGTAAAATTTGAGGTAAGGTCGATCCTTCTCTCATCCGATGCGTGCGTTTTGCATGGAGCTTGATCTCGTGTGACTATGAAGGGAGCCGAAGATTGATTGCAATTTCAGGAGGTCGATCCAACCGTTGATATTATGCGCTGGAGCTTCGTGTTGTCCCTCACCATCAAATTGTCGTGCGATCATCATGCGTGGTGCATCGATATCATCGGAAGGCAGAATGCGCTCAGCCGTCCGATCTCTTCGCATTCTTGTGCTGTACAGTATCCTCGCTGGATGTTACCAAACTAAGGATTCGCCATGATGTGTAGCACCAGGACTACAGTGAGTCTCAATTTGTTCCTAGAAGAGTTTTGCCAAACTCACCTAGAAGCCAGATGTGCTTCGAGAACAGTTACATGGTTACCACCTGTCACAGCATAACTGAAATCTATCCCATCCAACATCACATGGTACAATACACTCCCAGAAACAGCCTTTTGCTCCAAGCTATCCTTCCCACATCCACCCTTCGATATAATCCATTCACCTTTGGCTGCACCATCACCATGCGCTGAATAAGTAGGAGTTACACTCGTGAGTGATGTGGACTGTTGCCGCTGGGAGACGGAGCGAATGTCGCGAGAAAGCACTTGCTGGCAAAGCTGTTGTAGCTCGTTCGGGTGTGAGTATATCGAGCGGTGACTCTGGAGAGAGTGGGAGGGGAGGAAGGGGGAGAGGGGTGGGGGGGACATGAAGGGAACACAGTGGAAGGTAGAAAATGGGTTTCCTTGGGGCATCTGATTAAGACACACGTGAATCAGCGCATCTGGGCAGACTCAAGAGAGTAGAGGCATCTGGGCATGCGCACCTGGGCAGACCACACACACCTGGGCAGACCACACAGACCTGGGCAGACCACACAGACCTGGGCAGACCACACAGACCTGGGCAGACCATACAGACCTGGGCAGACCATGCATGTTGGAGCTGAGTTGAGACGGCGGGATGGAAGGTGACTGATGCCATGTGCATGCCATCATCATCGCCTGATGGCTGATTGGGAAGTATGGGGGAGAATGGCGGAGAATGGGGGAGAATGGGGGAGAATGGCAGAGAATGGCGGAGAATGGGGGAGAATGGCGGAGAATGGGGGAGAATGGCGGAGAATGGCGGAGAATGGCGGAGAATGGCGGAGAGAATGGGGGAGAATGGTGGAGAATGGCGGAGAGAATGGCAAAGAATGGCGGAGAATGGCGGAGAGAATGGGGGAGAATGGCAGAGAATGGCGGAGAATGGCGGAGAATGGGGGAGAATGGCGGAGAATGGCGGAGAATGGCGGAGAATGGCGGAGAGAATGGGGGAGAATGGCGGAGAGAATGGGGGAGAATGGCGGAGAATGGCGGAGAGAATGGGGGAGAATGGCGAAGAATGGCGGAGAGAATGGGGGAGAATGGGGGAGAATGGGGGAGAATGGCGGAGAATGGCGGAGAATGGCGGAGAATGGCGGAAAGAATGGGGGAGAATGGCGGAGAATGGCGGAGAATGGCGGAGAGAATGGGGGAGAATGGCAGAGAATGGCGGAGAATGGCGGAGAATGGCGGAGAATGGCGGAGAATGGGGGAGAATGGGGGAGAATGGGGGAGAATGGCGGAGAATGGGGGAGAATGTGAACGAGAGGGAGAAGTGGGGGGATGGGGGGTAAGCAGGTGCGATTGCATGCAGGTGCATGACGTATAGAGTTGTATGCATGCATCAATGCACGTACATATTTCGAATTTTGGTGCAAAAGAAACAGGAAGAAGGGTCCGATGCATTGAAGAAACATGGCACAGGATGATGCTGTGGAAAACATGGCGAACGTTACATGCAACAAACTGTTTGTACCCATGTCATGCACGGCGCCACATGACGACACACGCTTGCCGTCTCACCTCTACCCAGCGTGGCACAGTGGCAGATGGCACAGCGTCAGAGTAGGGCAGGTAAGGCTTGATGTCCAACACTGGCTGTGGAGTGGGTGAATGAAACCAGATGGGGAAGGAAGAAGAGGGGGGATGTTGATGAGTGCTTCGCAAGGCCCAGCATGTGAGTAGGGCAGGTAAGGCTTGATGTCCAGCACTGGCTGTGGAGTTCTAGAAAGGCTTCAAAAAAGAAAAAGGGGAGGATGGTGCCATGGGAACTTTTAGACGTCGGTGAAACGACCAGGCGCTCTAGAAAGAGCAGGAAGTATGGATTGCAATGATGCATACTCGCTTTTAGATCCTTCTCACATAATTCACCACCACTCACGGTGCCCCTCAACCACGTCAGCGCCCGACAGGTACTCCATCCGTCCCTCAACCGCTCCAACCTGGCATTGTTTAGTCCCTGAGTTCACTCAACCCACCACAACTCGCCACTCACAGCGCCGTCAACCACACCAGCGCCCGACAGGTGGACCCGCCGTCCATCCACCCGCTCCACCCTGGCAACACTAGGTCCCATGAAAAACTATCTCATCTCAAAACTCAGTGCCATGTCACTCACAGTGCCACGTCACTCACAGTGCCACGTCACTCACAGTGCCGTCAACCACATCAGCGCCTGACAGGTACACCCGCCGCCCCTCCACCCGCTCCACCTTGGCAATACTGAGTCCAATCGGCACCGGTCGGTGCGGCGTGCGTGTCGCCAGCGCCCCCAGCTTGCCTCCCTGCAGCCTGGGGACCCGGACCTGAGAGCAGGTGTGGTTGAGAAGACACACGGAATTAAGAGGCGCAAATGAGTGAGCCCCAGCGCCAATGAGGCGCTAACGCCACATATGGGTGCTGGGTCTGCTTTTGGGTCGACTCAAAAGCGAGCGGGCACATATGAGTGCTGGGACGTCGTGAAACACGTAGAGTGGCCAGCCAGCCGCAGAGCCGGCCGGCAAAGATGAGTGTTAGGACGTCGTGAATGTATGCCACCCCCTAACCAAGCCCAGCTTAGTATCCCCTGGGCTTGGAAGTTGCTATGCTATGCTGGGGTGGGGATCGGACCAGAGCCTGTGGATGGCGGTGTTGGCATGGATGACGTAGAGCAGCCAGCAGTGCGCAGTGACATTTGAGTCGACTCAAAAGTCACCTCGTTACAATGTCACACAACACCTTCGCTTCAAGGAGAGCTATTATCGCATGGAGGCTCCGAAGAGAATCCGAAACTTTCTAGTTTCTACTCATAAGTGCTAGTATACAGTAGTTTTTACTGTTTTGCACTTATTTCTTTCTTTGCTGCGTCCCCACTTTCTCCGCGACGGTTTCCCCCCACGAGATGAATCCTGGGCGACATCCTCTAGGCGTATAAGTAGTGCTTGTTTTCATTAGGACTCTGTGGTCTGAAGAAGGCTTCAAGCCAAAACCGGTTACAGCCAATTTTTTATTCAAGAGTTTTTTACAAGCACTCTACAAAACTAACTTTCACAGGTGTCACTACATAGTTGCTGCCACGTATTGACAACATGGCGCCTAACCGGTGTTCCATTTGATGACGTAGAGCAGCCAGCAGTGCGCACATGCATGCACGCACGAGCCTCCCCACCTACCCTCCATGCTCAACTTCGCCTCGCCTCGGCTCCTTTTGAGGCGCTTCTCAAACTAGACTGACTCCCCTCCACACCACACCCTCAATGCTGTACTTCGCTGCTTAGCCTCACCTTGGCTCGAAAGTTGTTATGCCGGAGGTCGGGCCACAATCTCTGTTTGTCGGTGTTGGCAAAGAACACGTAGAGCAGCTAGAAGTGTGAGTACCACTGTGCCTAGAGATCTCACCACTAAATTCTTACCTTGGCTCGGAAGTTGCTGTGCAGGGGGTCAGACCACAGTCGCTGAATGTCCGTGTTGGCGTGGAACACATACAGCAGCCAGCAGTGCGAGTAGCCCTCCAATCCCTGCAGCGCTGCTGGCGCTACCCCGCCACGTGGCAGCTCCAGATAGGCCCGCGCTGCCGGCACTAGCAACGGCTGTCGTGGCGTGCCATTCCTGATGCGGTGAAGAGGGATGGACGAGGGTGTAAAAGGGTGGAGGAGGGTTAGGGGGTCTGTCTGGTGTAGAGGTACGGTACGATAGTGGGAGACGTTTTAGAATTCCAAAAAGAATCTCTCACAAGAACAAGGATAGGTGGAGAAGGAGGAGGACGACACCTGTGGGGGAAAGAGTTGGGCAGACCACTTGGGAGAGAAAAAAAAAGCACCTGAAAGTCAACCTGTCCATCTGGGAGAAGCCCACCTGGCAGAGACGCCCACCTGGCAGAGACGCCCACCTGGCAGAGACGCCCACCTGGCAGAGAAGCCCACCTGGCAGAGACGCCCACCTGGCAGAGAAGCAGGAGCGAAGAACGCCAATGGGGGTCATGGGGTACGTAGTGAGCCGCTCGCTGGTGTCGTGCTGCTGCTGCTGCTGCTGCTGCTGCCGATGATGCCCAAGCTGCTCCTGCGCAAACTCGTGCTCATTCTGAATCTCCGTCACATCAAGGCCGTCGGACGGACCCTCGCCCTCGGATTGACCTCCAGCTTCGCGCTCGGGAACACCAGAGATCGCGCTCGCTTCTGCGGGTTCTTGAGGCGCCCCAGCGGCAGATGCGCCGCTGCGCCCATGTGACCGTGCGCGCGGGATCAGCTCCGCGCTGCTCTGCTCTGCGCTCCTCTGCTCCGCGCTGCTCTGCTCCGCGCTGCTCTGCATGCGCAGATTGCGCTCCTCCTGCTGCTGCTGCTCTGCAGGAGCTGCGAAATTTGCGCACATGGCACAGCAGCGCGCGAGGTTTGCCCCGCTGCTCTGCACGCGCAGATTGCGCAGCTCCTGCTCGGCGCGAATCCTCCCCCGCCTCTCCGCCAGGCGCTCCTTCCTTTCCTTCTCCACAGCCTGCTCCAGACCCTTAACCTTCTCCTGTAAACCCCTAACCATTCGTTCGAGTTCCACTGCTTTCTCCCTCCATTGCTCCCCGCCTCCACTTTGCCTATGGGTCTCCTCCTCGTCCTCCTCGTCCTCCTCGTCCTCCTCCCGATTCTCCTCCTTTTCCTCGCCCGTCTCGCTTCTCTCCATCCCTTCTTTCTTCTGTTCGAGATCTCGGCACTATCGAGGTTATCACCGAACGGAAAACTCGCAGGCGATTGCTGCTAGAACTTTCTGAGGCCTTTGTGGGGACGAAGTAACATTGGCGACGACTCGTCATTGAGTTCCGCGGTACGAAACACGGCTCGCGAAGAAAGCGAAACTAAGGTGATTGCACATGACTCGAACTCTGTACATGGTGTGGTGTGGTGTGGTGTGGACCAACAAACAATGGACTATAGGGACGCAAAGCAAGCTCTATCACTCAGTCGTTCGATTATAGCATTATCAATTGGCATCTTCAACTTCCTTTTGTCTTGTCAAACAGCACCATTGGATCCGGCTCAACTATATTACAGGTGCCATAAAGAATGAATAAACCGTAAGTACGTAAATCTTAACTCAAGCAGGCCACCCTTGAGAGCCTCTACTCAGTCATTACCCCGCACCACACACCATTGGGGCGACAACGAGACTTGCTCAACACTTTCCGACACAACTCACACTTCCCCCTCTCCAACACCTGTTGTGTTAAACCAGCCCTTGCTGGCATTATTCCCTTCCCCGCTTCAACTCTAGCACCAGCCACTCCCTGCTTCCTTAACTGGCTTTGCCTCAGGCAAGGCCTCTGCCTCCAGCGCAACCACATCAATGTCGCCAAACACCTCGTCCACACTCCCACGGGCCACCAAGAAGCGGTTACCATGCACACCATTGGGGCGACAATGAGCCTTGCACTTCTCCCGCTCCAACGCCTGCCACACTAGCCATTACTGGCATTATTCCACTACCACCAGCCACTCCCTGCTTCCTGCACTGGCTTTGCCTCAGCGCCTCTGCCTCCAGCGCGTCCAGATCAATGTCGCCAAACACCTCGTCCACATCCCCATAGCCACCACCAGTCACCTGGTGTCCTTGCGAGGGGACACCTGAGGGAACACCTGAGGGGACGCCTGAGGGGACGCCTGAGGGGACAGAAAAAGGTGGGGCTGCTGGAGGGCCAGTGGTTGAAGGAATAGGCCCGCATTCAGGCACAGCTCTGCCTATCCCATTGCCATTGCTCACACTGCCTCCTCCCCTCCCGCACACACCTGCTCCGCCACTCCCCATACCTGCTCCGCCACTCCCCATACCTCCTCCACGGCTCCATCCACCTCCTCCCCCTCCCCTTTTCCCTCTGCTCTCCCACGCCTGGGCTTCCAGCGCGTCCAGGTCTATCCCCTCGAACAGGTCGTCCCCATCCACGTCACATGCACGCTCGCCCTCCTTATTATCACATCTGTATTCACCCTGGTTACTGTCACATGCATGGGGATGGGAATGCTCCATGCCATGGCCGCTCCTGCCCTCTGCCCACCCACTGCCGGCCTTCATCCTCTCCCTAGCACCCATTCCGTGCCTCCTGGGCGGCACAGAGTGCGGACTGGGCGGCAGAGAATGAGTACCTGCCTGCGTAGCATGCGTTCTAGGCACAGACCGTGAGCTGGGTGGCACAGGATGCACTCTGGTTGGCATCGAATGCGCTGCAAATGGCACAGAGCGTGAGATGGGCGGCGCAGAATCTCGTCTGGGCGGCAGGAATCGCATCTTGTTGGCATTGCGGGCGGCGAGACCAAGCGGAGAGGAAGCGAACTGTGGCAGGAGGGAGCGACGAGGGGACGAGGGACTAGGAGTGGGGTGGGACGACATGTTGGGGGAGTGGGGGGAAGAGGTGCTGGGGGCGCTTGGGGGGGAGGTCGGAGAGACTGGGGATGCGGACGAGAGTAGCTGGTTCGCCGGCCTTGAATTCTTGTGCCTTTGACGCCGTGGTGGGGTGCGGTGGTCCACTGGAAGCTGGCTCAACAGAGAGGCGCTGGAGGGGGAACACGGGGGTGTGGGGGGAGGAAGGTGTTGTAAGATGTTCGGTTCTGAGACGCAGAGACGAAACTTCTTATACGCAGTGAGGCGCTGGAGGGGGGAACACGGGGATGTGGGGGGAGGAAGGTGTTGGGGGGGGGAAGGGGAAGGGAGGGGGAAGGTAAGAGGAGTGCACGAGGGGAGTGGGGAAGATGAACAGTGGGGAGTGTGAAACAACCCATTTTTGAGGCGCCTAAAAAAATCCATGCGTGAGGAGTCTATTTTTGAGGCGCCTAAAAAATGGAGTGGGGAAGATGAACAGAGGGGGTGTGAAACAACCCACGATAGATGAAGTCACTTGAGAGTGCAGAAGGGGCCACGGGGAAAAGTGGCATAAGCTGCCACCTCACACCGAGTTGTGCCACTTCACACCGTGTTGTGCCACCTCACACCAAGATGTGCCACCTCACGACAAGATGTGCCACCTCACACCAAGATGTGCCACCTCACACCAAGATATGCCACCTCACGCCAAGATGCGCCACCTCATGCCAAGATGCGCCACCTCACGCCAAGATGTGCCACCTCACGCCAAGATGTGCCACCTCACGCCAAGATGTGCCACCTCACGCCAAGATGTGCCACCTCACGCCAAGATGTGCCACCTCACGCCACGATGTGTCACCTCATGCCAAGATGCGCCACCTCACGCCAAGATGTGCCACCTCACGCCAAGATGTGCCACCTCACGCCAAGCTTTCCAGCCCCAACCCACCGCTGAACGTGCTGTATGCAGCTCCCTGTGACCACGCCAGCACCGCCTGGGGTCTCTCTGAGACTCATCTCTTTGTGGATTGGAGAGGGCTCATTGCACTCTCCTGCAGTGGCCCCATCAACTCACTGGTGTTGCCCCGACGACTCACCGGTAAATGTGCTGCATGCTGCTCTCTGTGACCATGCCCGCCCTGCCTGATGCTCCCCGCCTCCCCACTCTACCCTCCCCACCTCCCTCCTCCCCCTCCTCCCCCTCCTCATCATCCTCCACTTCCTCAATCTCATCCCCTTCCTCCTCCCCCTCTTCCCCTCCCCTTCTTCTTCCTCCTCCACCTCCTCTTCTCCATCTCCCATGTCCCCACTCCCCTCCCCTTCCACCCTGCTGACTATGAAATCCGCCATGTCATCATCCGTCCATGCCACGTCAGCATCCTCCAGGCCTTCCTGTGTGGCATCTCGATCAGACTCCCTGCCACAGAGGATGGCAAGGCAGAGAAGCGGGAATTGTTTCTGAGACGCCTGAAAAATAGACCCTGCCACAGAGAGGATGGCAAGGCAGAGAAGCGGGAATCTTTTATCAAGAAATAAGGGAGAGAAATAGAGAATTTGTGACATGGCTTGAAGAGACGAGGATGCTCCATTGGTTGAATAAGCGACCGCGAATTGCTTCAATCAACAACACTGCACAGTGCCACACCACACAGCGCAGCACCGCACCGCACATCACAGCACCACACGTTACTCACTCGGCCTCCTCGTCAATGAAGTCCAGCACCCTTCGAGCCATCCCCTTGCCTCTCCCCCTCCCACCCCCCTTTCCCCCTCTGCTCTCTCCTCCACCTCTCCCGTCTCTCAGCTCGTTGTCACTGCCATACCCCCTTTCCAGGCACCTCCCTTCGCCACTGCTGTTGCCAGCTTCTCTCTCTCTGCAACCACGATCACTGCCGCCCACCTGCTGCCCTCTCCTGAGCCTCTTAAGGGTTCTCGTTCTTGGAGGATCAGGGGACCTGGGCACCTCCTCCTGTGCACCCTTCGTTACTATCACACCCTTGTCGCCACCACCACCACCATCACCATCACCATCACCACCACCACCACCCTCATCGTCCCCCCCATCCTGTGTCATCACCACCATCTGCCTTCTCCGCTGCCTCCTCCTCCTACCCGCCACATCTCCCCTCCTCTCTCTCTTTCCCAGCACCCTCTCCCCATCACCATCACCATCACCATCGGCAGGTGCTGCTTGCAGCTGTGGTGATGGCTGTGATGGCCGCTTTGACTGCTGCTGCTGCTGCTGATGCTGTCGCTCTGACAGCTGCTGCTGCTGTCGCCCTGACAGCTGCTGCTGCTGCTGTCGCTCTGACTGCTGACGGCAGGGCCTCACAGCCCAAGTAGGCCTGGTGGTACTGCTCGCTACTCTCCTTGCAGCAGAGGAACCATGACTGTTCTGGTTTGGCTCAAGACTTCCCCTTCTCCTCAACGCATCGCCCCGGCCCTCTCCTTCTGTATGCGGCATTCTGCCACACACTGCAGCATCACCAGCGCGTGGCAGCAGCTGATGTTGCTGTGCATCCGCATCGTCTGCTGCTGCCGCTGCCGCTGCTCTTGCCGTTGCTGCTGCTGCTGCTGCCGTTGGTGCTGCTGCTGCTGCTGCTGTTGCCGTTGGTGTTGCCGCTGCTGTGGCCATTGCTGCTGCCGCTGCTCTTGCCGTTGCTGCTGCCGCTGCACTTGCCGTTGCTGCTGCCACTGTAGCCGTTGGTACTGCAGCCGGTGCTGCCGCACGCGCAGGTGGCACTGAGTCTTCTCTCACACCGCTGCCCCTCGGACTCGCAACCATCCCGTTCACGACCCCGTCACTCTCATCCGACAGAGAAATTGGATCCAATGCATCACCTCCTCCTCCTCCTCCTGCGCACCAACTCTTTCGCCTGAGCATTCCGAATTCATCCCCCCTGACACCTCCTCCCTTCCCCATCTGTCTTTGAGCCGCCTTACCCACAACTCCATCACCTCCTGCGCACCAGCTCTTTCGCCTGGAAGGTCCAGGTTCAGGCCCCCTGACACCTCCTTCCTCTCCCCTTTCCCTTGTATCCATCCATCGCATGCCCCCACTTGCGTCAGCTTCCCTGCCTCCATCCGTCTGTGCAGCCATACCCATCCCCACACCCACTCTATAGACCTTCCTGGCCATCCCGCCCTGGTCCACAACACCCCGATCCTCACTCTCGTCCCAGCTGTTCCCAGCCACGCCATCTGTTCCCAACACTCCACCTCCCTCCTCTCCCCCAACATACCGCCATATCGTTGGCTCCTCATACTCACCCAGCCCCACAAACCCATCCTCCTCCGTCTCATACCCATCCCCATCGCATCCATCTGCTCCCCTCTCCTCGGCCTTATGACCCTCCGGCTCACCCCGTGCTATCTGGCCTTCTCCCATGGCGCCACCTCCCTCCTCCCCCCCAACATACCGCCATATGGTTGGCTCTTCGTAATCATTCAGCCCCACAAACCCATCCTCCTCTCTCTCATCACCAACCATCTCAACACCCACCACCTCATGACCCTCTGACCCTTCCTTGCTCCCCAGCTTTCCCTCTCGCACTCCCCTGCCCCTGTTCCTGTCGCTCAGCCCACCACCTTCGATCTCAGGAGCATCCTCCTCCACGACATCAGATCGCCCTCCCACATCCGATCGCCCTCCCACATGCAACGTCGGTCCAGTAGCGAATCTCTGCTCCACATCTGATATCCTCCCACGGCCCACACTCAAGCCCACACTCAGGCCCACACTCAGGCCCACACTCAGGCCCACACTCAAGCCCACACCCAATCTCTGCTCCGGTCCACTTCTTACGTCCCTTCCTGTCGCCGCTACATCCCCAACTGCCCCTTGCAGTATCCTCAGTGCGCCCACCAGCATCCGTTCCGACCTATCCGAATGCGCCACCTGGCACGTCCTCGTTCCCTGCGTCTGCGCCGACAAGAAACCTGTAAGACTAGGCTTCCACCTTGCCACCTCCCATCCACACCCCCCTCTCCTCTCACACCCCTCACCCCTGCAACCCCACCCTCCCCTCCCCCATACCCCTCTCCGGCAGCATCACCAGGCAGTCTGGCAGACCTGCCAGCTAGCTGGCTGGTAGCCGGCGGGAGGAACTTCAGCAGGGAGGGGTATCTCAACAGAGCGTTTGTTTCAGGAGTCAGCAGTTGGGTCACCGGAAGGGGGGATGCTGCTGCTGAACCGCCCACACTTGCCCTTTTTCCGCGGCCTTTCTTGGCAGAGGGTGCGAGGGAGGACGGGGAGGAGGCGGGGCGGCGCCGTTTGGAGTGAGGCGGGCTGAAGGCAGGCGGTTGGATGTTGACGATGGTGACAGTGGGCTTGGGGATGCGATGCGGTAGCTGATGGGGGTGGGGAGGGCAGGAGGGGTTGGGAGGGCCCGAGGGGTTGGCGGGGAAGGGGGGCGAGGGCAAAGGGGATTGGGGGGAAGGGCATGACTGACAGGGTAGGGGAGGGGAAGAGGGGGTGGGTGAGTGGAAAAGGAGGATAAGAGTGAGAAAGTGAGTGTAGAATGGGAGGCGACGGGGAGTGAAGGCGGGAGGCTGGATGTTGACGATGGGGACAGTGGGCTTGGGGATGCGATGGGGCAGCTGGCAGGTTTAAGCAAAACGGATGGGGGAGGGGGGAAAGGGTATAAAGGAGAGGAAGTGAGAGAAGAATGGGAGGCGAGGGGGAGTGAACGTGGGTGGCTTGGGGGATGCGATGGGACAGCTGAGGGGGATGGGGAGGGGCACGAAAGGTCGCGGGGAGTAAGACGGCGAGATGGAGGATAGCAGGAACAGTTTTGAGGCGCCTCAAAACTCGATCATGGCTAACGACACTGGGAAGATACCAGGGAAAGAAGTCGGATATGGCAGAGATGACCCAACAGCACGTGAAACAGAAAGAGATGGTACTTGCCGCACGCCTCATGCCCCATGGCACATGACACATGACGCATTCAACACTAGCCCAACAGCGGAGCACCCGATGGCACACACGCCATGGCACATGGCACAAGGCACGCAACGCAGAACGCACCATCCGCAGGCTCTCATGAAAGCGCAGCACCCCTGACGTGTGCGCGTTGCGAAGGTTCCTGGAAAGAGCCCGATTGGCCTTGCGCTTGGCGTTGAACCTCTCGATCTCCCACCCCTCGGTGGCTAGAACCAGTGGTCGGATGAAAAATGCAATAAAAAAGCGCAATCAAACGAAAAAGGAGGGGACGCCGGGACGGCAACAGAGCACAGGCAAAGGAGCGAGAGCGCAATTGGGGCGTGGGAGGGGAGGGGGAGAAGAGGGGCGGAGGGGAGGACGGGAGGAGGGAAGGAAGGGAGGAGGGGAGGAGGGGAGGAGGGGAGGAGGGGAGGAGGGGAGGAGAGGAGGCGGGGAGGAGGGGAGGAGGGGAGGAGGGAGGGAAGGAGAAAGAAGGCAAAGAAGGGGCGCAGAACGGAGGGCGGAAGTCAAAGAAACCAGACAGGCGCTTGCGATGGGGGTCGGGGTGCGAATAATAAAGCGTTGTGGACGAGAGCGGTGCGAGGCACAGAGCAAGCGGAACGAGCATATAACAAAGGTTACTGGTAAGACGGTCGTGAGGCATGGGTGTGGTGCTGGTGAGGAGTGGTGCGGCAGGGTTGAAGAGTAGTGAGGCAAGGTGAGGAGTGGTGGAGCGGGGAAGAGCGGTGAGGAGGATATCCACTTTGCCATCTCGGCTGCGACCAGTGCGCCCCATTCGCTGAGTCATGCGCAGCACAGAGACGGCGTCGAAGCACACCACCAGGTCGACCTGATGGGCAAAGGGAGACGCAAAGGCGTGAATGGGCCAAAGAGATCAAAAGCACAGACGTCGAAGCACACCACCAGGTCGACCTGATCGTGGAGGGATGGGTGATCTTTAGTGATGGCATGAGTGGGATATTGAGGGGATTTGAGGGGTCTCGGAGCAGCACGGAGACGGCGTCCCAATGCACCACCAGGTTGACCTGATGGGGGTGGTGGGATGGGTGATGGGAGCCACAAATCCGACATTTGAGAATTCTCTCAAATGGTGTAGCCTTGTAGGTGATCTCTGAGAATTCACAGATGCTGTAGGTGATTTTTGAGAATTCTGAAAAATCGCCAGCATGTATGTGGAGGGATGGGTGATGATGGGAGGCACACATGCGACTTTGAGGCGATTTGAGGGGTCTTGGTGGAGCACAGGGACCGCGTCCAAACACACCACCACGTCGACCTGATGGTTACACGGAAGGGGCGATGGGAGGTGGAGGCATGAGAGTGGGGCCATGGGAGTGGGGCATGGGAGTGGGGCATGGGAGTGGGGCATGGGAGTGGGGCACGGGAGTGGGGGCATGGGAGTGGGGGCATGGATGTGATTGTGAGGTGTTTTGAGGGGTGACATGGAGAAGGGAATAAGTGGCATGGCAGGAAAGCCTATGGGAACAAGTAGGCACCCCACCCACATCTCACCTGCGATATGTCCAGCCCACCTGCGACATGTCCACCCCACCTGCGATATGTCCAGCCCCTCCTCCCCAATGGTTGTGGATACGAGCACGTTGTACGTCCCTGCCTTGAAGCCCTGATGGGAGCGAAACGATAGGCAGAGGCAGAGGCAGAGGCAGAGGCAGAGAGGGAGCATGGAGCAGCATTCTATATGCACCAGAGAACAATACAAAAGAAAGCCATCACAGTCAGGGTTCCTGACTCACAAAAAGCAAATCTCTTTCAGCTAGAAGAATGAAGGAACATGTTAAGGTGCGGAGAAAATAAAATACGTGAGAATTCCTATCCTAGCCTTCGGACTTACATCCAGCACTGCCTGCTGCTGCTTCTGTGACTGACCCATCAACCGCTTCCTCACTCCCAAATCACCCTCCTCCCCTTCATCTTCCTCCCCCTCGTGTTCCTCCTCTTGTTCCTCATCCCCACTCCCCTCTCCCCCATCCCCCCCCTCAACCTCCCTCCCTCCCTCCGCATCCTCCTCCCCGTGTGCTCCCATCAACACACCACCACCATCACTGCCCCTCACTCCCCCTATTATTCCCCCTCCACCCCCCCCCTCCCTCGTCCTCTTGCACTCAAATCACTCCTAGCTGATCCTCCCCCTACCCCTCTCCCTCGCCCTCCCCCTCTTCCCACACCTCGTCCCCCCCCTCCTCCTCCTCCTCTTCCTCCCCCTCTTCCTCCGCCACTTCCTCCCCTTCTCCCTCCCCCTACCCCTCCTCCTCGCCCTTCTTCAATTCTTGGGAGCCCCCTGGCAATCACCCCTTGGGACGCCTTGGGCCGTTTCCTCTGGGGCGCGTCCACCCCTGTACAATTGCAACGCAAAGGCGGAAGTATTGTGCGCATACATTGCTGATATATTGCTGCTATATTGCTGCTATATTGCTGCTATATTGCTGCTATATTGCTGCTATATTGCTGCTATATTGCTGCTATATTGCTGCTATATTGCTGCTATATTTCTGCTATATTGCTGCTATATTGCTGATATATTGCTGCTATATTGCTGCTATATTGCTGCTATATTGCTGCTATATTGCTGCTATATTGCTGCTATATTTCTGCTATATTGCTGCTATATTGCCGAAGCGGATACATTGCTGCTACATTGCTTGTAGTGGACATATTGCTGATAAATTGCTTGTAGGGGATATATTGCTGCTATATTGCTTGTAGCGGATACGTTGCTGCTATGTTGCTTTTAGCGGATAAATTGCTGCCACAAGCTTTTTGAGCTTTGAGATGTCTCAAAACTCGAAGTCTGATAGGCTGCTACAGGCCTTTGAGATGCAGCCCACTGGATGATGTATGGGGGTGTATGCTTAACTGATGGGTAGAGGAGATCATACCTGCGCTCTGCCCAATGAACTGCTTCACTCTCAGCATCGGCTCGTGCTGGGATAGACACTCCACGATCTCCCTGCAACTCACATACAACGTTTACACAAGTCCAGGCACGAACACGAGGTGACTTTTGAGTCGACTCATATGTCACCTTGGGATAGGCACTCCACAATCTCCCTGCAGCCAACCCACGCACAACGTTTATATAAAGCCAAATGCGAACCAACACACAGCACGCAAGTGGTCAGCTACTTGTACTGCAGCCCGTCAATGCCACGGCCAATCGCTGCACACAATTGCCACCTACACTGCTACAGTCACTGCACGATAGAATCACTCATAAAAAAAACCACTGCTACTCTTTGCCGAATGTTGTCAGCCACTGCAAGATATACTCACTCTCAGGCTCAGCAAGTCACCCACTAAAAAGGCCACTCACTGCACACTGTCTCTGAAGGTGGAGAAAATGATTGCTCTGGTGTCAGCTGCGCTGCACTGCTGAGCTGCAAAGGGGAGAGATAAGAGAGAGAGAAAGCCGCAAACGAGACACAACTTATGTACTGGAGAGGCTCCAGGAATCATCAACGGAGGACTCCAGTGATGCTCTGGAGGAGAGAGCATTGTCGCGCAGACGAGGCGGGAATCCGTCCCCATCGCTCAGATCCCGCGGACAAGGACCTGTGGGCACACAGCCGCTGGACTCTCCCGCCCAGGCTGCCAGAGGGAGTGCGCGGAATACGCGTACCCCCCGCGCCAGTATTACGCCAGCGACCCCGAACCTAAGGCAGTTCTCGCCACAGGAGTTGTCGTCCAACGAATCGTTGTTCGCCGGGGTGGCGGGATGGGATATCGACCTGCTGTGCGACAGTCGCCAACCCCCGATTTCCCGCAGAATCCCCCCCAAACTTCGTCAGCTCTCCGCCCTGGCACTTCTGACACCCCTGCTTCATATCGCACACAGGCCAACCAGCCTCGAAGGTTGGCGCCTGTTACTTTTCGTCCCTCGCCTAACCCTTCGCCTGCACTCGCCCAAGCACCCTGACTGGGCCGCAGTGGAAAAACGACTGCAGCAGTTCCTCGCGGGCGAATGGCATTTGCTGTACCTGTCAGCAATCGACGCTGTGCATAACCCCCCCGCACCTCGCCACGCGGCAGACTCCATCGGCAGGCAAAAGCGAGCAGAGGGGCTTGTCCGCCGTGGCAGTCTCCGACGTGCCCTGCTGGCACTGGACTCGACCCCGGTCAGCGATTCAACCGCCGACGTCCTCGAGGCGCTGAAGTCCAAGCACCCCGCCCCGTTGACAGAGTCAATCGCCTGGCCCATCCTTGACGAGTCCGAGGCGGGTCCCTCGTTTTTGCAGGATGAGTTCATTCGCTTGCTGAGTCGCTACGAAAACGGAGTGGGTGCAGGGCCTTCGGGAATGTGCTTCGAGCACATTCGCGAAGCTGCCCTCGCTAACAATTCAGTCGCTGGCAAATTGCATGAGCTTGCACTACGCTTGCCCAAAGGGGATTCCACCGCCGAAATCGCCGCCCTACTCACCGCCAGCCGCCTCATAGCATTTCCCAAGCCAGGAGGCGGCACGCGACCCATCGCCATAGGCGAATGCCTGCACCGCCTCGTGGCGAAGGCGGGCCTTCTCACCATGATGGCACAAGCGCATACTCATTTCCTCCCGCTGCAGTTCGGGGTAGCAGTACGTGCGGGTGGCGAGGCGATCATCCATGGAGCCCGCGCATACACATCCGAATTTCCGACCGCCCTCGTACTCCAGGTGGACGTGTCGAATGCCTTCAACAGCGTCGACAGAGCCGCGATAGTGGCGGGCCTCTACAACTCGCCCCTCCGGCCGCTTCTCCCCTTCGTCAAACTCTCCTACGGAGCACCGTCGCGCCTCTACCTAGACGCCGGATTCGGCAGTGAACCCCTCCTTAGTGCCCGGGGTGTTCGTCAAGGGGACCCCATGGGCCCCCTGCTCTTCGCGGCGGCTCTTCACCCGGCACTCCAGGCGACAGCCTCGGCTTTTCCTAGCGTGCTCTGCCTCGCATACGCCGACGACATCACGCTGCTCGGAGAGCCGTCGGAATGCGCGTTGGCGTTCACACATCTCACCGAGGCCCTACGCCCCTTGGGACTCGCGCACAACCCTTCCAAGTGCGCGGCGTGGTCGGCTTCCCAGCCCCCCAGCCCCATTCTCCCCCCGGGCATCCCCTTCCGCGCTGACGGTCTGTGCGTCCTCGGGAGCCATCTCGGCCCTACTGAAGCCACAGCCGCCTTCCTTCGGGAGCAGCTGGCTGACATGGCCAAACCGCTACCTGCCCTCGCGACCATGGACCCCAAGGCCGCGGGCCTTCTCCTCCACCGCTGCGTCTCACGACGTGCCTCCTACCTCACCTGCACCACCCCCCTTGACTCGCTGCCGACCGAGGAATGGTCCAACTGGGGCCAGGAGCTCTTCCATACCCTCCTCCTCTCGTGCAACCTTCGGCTCCCACGGGGTGAACAGGAGCGGTTGCGCACGTGGCAACAGGCCTCTCTGCTCCCCACTCTTGGCGGCCTCGGCCTCGCGGACCCCGCAGTAGAGGGCCCGCACGCCTTCCTCACTAGCGTCACACAGGCCCACCGGCTGCTCATTTCCCTTCCTTCGGACCCGACTGGCCCACTCGCTGCAGCGGAATGCTCCCTGGCCCCTCCCTTCATCGGCCCCTCTCGTCTCCATACCTGGCTGGCGAAATGCGAGTCGGCCCTCCCAGCTCCAGCCTTGGCGCTCCTGCAGGCCGAGCGGGCTGAACCCTCAGACGAACCTCTCCAGCACCGATTGGCCCTGGAGGTACACGCAGCCCGCTTCGCCAGTCAATTGGCTGCGTCAAGGGAGATGGACCCCAACCCCCTTAGCGGCCACACCCAGCGGCTTCTCTCCCTCACTGGGTACGGCGCCGGCGACTGGCTCCTCGCCATCCCCCTTTTCCCATCTCTTCGGTTGGCGCCGCCTCACTATGCCATCGCCCTGGCGTTCCGTATGGGCCTCCCTTTCCCGGCACCCAGGGTCTGCAACTGCGCCCAACAGGTAGTGATCGTAGACCCCCGCCTACCAAACCACCTCTTCCGTTGTGGGACGGGACACGGCCGCACCGACACCCAGAACGCCCTCCGAGATGAGTGCGTCCGCATGGGGCGAGACGCACAGCTTATCGTCACGAAAGAAACAGCGATCTACAACCCTGTCGATGGCAAGACCGCCGACCTGGCCGTTCGTGACCGGGACTCGGGGGCGGTTTGGATCTGTGATGTCACCGTCACCGACCCAGTCAGCTCCCGGGACCCGCTAGCGCGTAAGGGCCGCGGATACATGGCCCGGGAGCACGCGGACAAAAAGATCGACGAATACCGCCACCGGGCAGCATACGTCGGTTTCTTCCCACTCGCGGTCGAGATGTATGGCTGCCCATGCGCCGAGGTGCCAACCTTCCTTAAACTCCTGGCACACACGGCCGCCCGCCGCCTTTGCAACGCCGACCCCAGCTCCTACCAGGCGGCAAAACTGCTAAGCCAGTTCCGCCAGCGCTGGTCCGTCACCCTCCAGAGGGGACAAGCCCTCACCTACCTCGGGAAAGTGAATGAGGCTTCGCCACTCGAGTGGCCACCCCTCGGTGCGCCTGACGCGGGCATGTCCCTAGGGGACTGCTTCGCTATCATAGAGCACCCTAGGGAATAGCCATAGGCTAGAAGCTCGGCCAGCAGTATCATACTTGCATGTACCCACCTTATTTGCCTCGCTTGTACCCAGGATTTCCCAGCAATGAAGGACCATTCGAGAAAGCCGCAAAGTTCGGGGGGGGGGGGGGGGGGGGGGGGGGGGGGGGGGGGGAAGGGGGGGTTAATGGCCCTGGTGTCAGCTCCGCGCTGCTGCTGCTGCTGCTGAGGGCACATAATTTGTAACAAGAGGGAGGAGGGGAATGGGGTAAGGACACCAGATGAGGAGAAAGGGAAGGGGCAGGGGGGTGTGGTGTGGAGAAGATACGAGCAAGGGATGTATGTAGTCAAACGGATAGAGCCACGCGATAGAGGCAAGCGATAGAGGCACGCGATAGAGGAGAATTGATAAACTACCACGCTCATCCTACAAAGCGTGCACCACCACCGCTATGCTCACCATCACTAAAGTGTTGCAGCAGGTGCTCAAGCTCCACCAGCTTGGGCGAGACAGCAGCAGCAGCAGGAGGACCTTAAAGCACCTCGTTCTTTTCCTTTCACCACGTTTACCTCAACCACCCCACCATCAAGCTCACCATCACCAAAGTGTTGCAGCAACAGCTTCTCCAGCTCCACCAGCTTGGGCGAGACGGCAGCAGCAGAGGCAGAAGCAGAAGCGGACATCACTCCATTGACTTCACTTCTTACCTCTCACTTCTTTTGCCTCACCCACCCATCAACGTGCTCACCATTACCGAAGTGTTGCAGCAGCAGCTTCTCCAGCTCCACCAGCTGGGGCGAGACAGCAGCCGCAGAGGCGGACACAGAAGAACACTCCCTTGCGGTCTGCTGACGGCTTTTGCCTCACCACCACCATGCTCACCATTCCTGATGCTCACCATTCCTGATGCTCACCATTCCTGATGCTCACCATTCCTGATGCTCAACATTCCTGATGCTCACCATTCCTGATGCTCACCATTCCTGATGCTCACCATTCCTGATGCTCACCATTCCTGATGCTCACCATTCCTGATGCTCACCATTCCTGATGCTCACCATTCCTGATGCTCACCATTCCTGATGCTCACCACTACCAAAGTGTTGCAGCAGCAGCTTCTCCAGCTCCACCAGCTTGGGCGAGACGGCAGCAGCAGAGGCGGACATGGGAGCAGAAGCGGAGGACGAAGCACCGCCCTGCTTCCCCTTGGCCGCCTTCCCCCCCCCCACTCCCACAGTGCGCCGCATGATGGTCAGCGCCCTCTGCATGCCCTGCTCCCGCAGCGTGGCTGCCAGGGCCCTGGCGGGGACAGAGGGAGGAGCACGTGAGGGGAGGAATGGATGAAAGTGAGGGACGCGAGAGAAAGGGCTGCCGCATGATGGCCAGCGCCCTCTGCCTGCCCTGCTCCCTCAGCACTGCCGCTAGGGACCTAGGAATGGGAGGCTAGTCGTGCACGGAGAGAGTACAGGGAAGCAAGAAGGCACAGGGAGTGAGAGAAGGGAGTGAGAAAAATGCTGAATGATGGCCAGCGCCCTCTGCGTGCACTGCTCCCTCAGCACTGCCGCTAGGGCTCTGAGGGGGGCGGGAGAGGGAGGAGGGCGCGAGGGGGGACACGAGCAGAGAGCGCGAGGGTACGGAGGAGGGACGGTGTAGACAGGCCACAGGAGTGAGACGTAGAGGTGAAAGGATCCCGTATGAAGGTGAGCGCCCTCCGTATGCCCTGCTCCCTGCCGCTAGGGCCCTGAGGGGGGGAGACGAGGGACAGGGGAGGGAGTAGGGCGAAGGGAAGACAGGAAAGAGCGAATGAGCGACTGTTTGTGCAAACCCTGCTCTACCAGGTCTGCTGCTACGGCCCTGAGAGGGGTCTATTTTTAGACGCCTAAACAATGAATCCCTGCTCTTTCAGGTCTGCTGCTACGGCCCTGAGAGGGTTGGGCGGAAGGAAGGGAGGAAGGAAGGATGGAAGACGCGAGGGAGGAGGAAAAACGAGATGGGGGGAGTCAAGAAGGAAAGGAAGGCAGGGGGGGACACAGGAGTTTATTGTGGAGACTTCTCAAATCTAAAGTATTGATGATACTAAAATAAATCACAGGAAGAAAGGATGGAAATTGAGATCGGGGGAATCAAGAAGGGAACAAGTTCATATCCTCATGTGCTCCTTTCAATCAAGTTCATATCCTCATGTGCTCCTTTCAATCAAGTTCATATCCTCACGTGCTCCTTTCAATCAAGTTCATATCCTCATGTGCTCCTTTCAATCAAGTTCATATCCTCATGTGCTCCTTTCAATCAAGTTCATATCCTCATGTGCTCCTTTCAATCAAGTTCATATCCTCATGTGCTCCTTTCAATCAAGTTCATATCCTCACGTGCTCCTTTCAATCAAGTGAATATCCTCACAAGTTCAAATCCTCTCCTCCTTTTGACCACATGGACACCAGAGCGCATGCCATGCGACATGAGTCTCGCCAGCACAGCCCCCAAGCCCAAGGCGCCCGCCCTTGCCCACCACACTTGACAAACTCACACTTGATCATACTTTTCAAACGCTACTCTTCTCACCTGCTCCTTTCAATCACATGGAGCGCCGAGCGCATGCCATGCGACATGAGTCTCTCCAGCACAGCCCCACCGCCTCCGCCCTCGCCCACCACATCTGCCCCGCCATCTCCCTGCCGCCCATGGGCTCTCCCCCGAACCCCCGTGCTGCCGCTTCCTGCTGCCGGGCCCTCTCCCGCTGCTCCTGGATCATGCGCAGCTGGTGGGAGGACACCATCTGGGGGAGAGAGAGGCAGGGGGGTAGGCGAAAATGAAATGTTGAGGCGCTTAGAGTAAAGCCGTGGTGCCGCCTCCTGCTGCCAGCTCCTCTCACGCTGCTCCTGGATCATCTGGAGCTGGTGGGAGGACACCATCTGGGGGAGAGAGAGGCAGGGGGGTAGGCGAAAATGAAATGTTGAGGCGCTTAGAGTAAAGCCGTGGTGCTGCCTCCTGCTGCCAGCTCCTCTCACGCTGCTCCTGGATCATCTGGAGCTGGTGGGAGGATACCATCTGGGGGAGAGAAAGGCAGGGGAAAAGGGTTCAGAGTGAAAGGATTCGAGGCGAGTTAAACTATTCCTCTCACGCTGCTCCTGGATCATGCACAGCCGGTGGGACGACACCATCTGGGGGAGAGTGAGGCAGGGGGGGGAGAGAGAGGCAGGGGGGCGGAGAGAGAGGCAGGTGGGGGGGAGAGAGAGGCAGGTGGGGGGGAGAGAGAGGCAGGTGGGTAGGAGAGAGAGGCAGGGGGGGGGAGAGAGAGCAGGGGGGGGAAGAGAGAGGCAGGGGGGGGGGAGAGAGAGGCAGGGGGGGGGAGAGAGAGGCAGGGGGGGGGAGAGAGAGGCAGGGGGTAGGAGAGAATTCGAGGTGCTTAGAGTAAAGCTGTGCTGATGCCTCCTGCTGCCGGCTCCTCTTCCACTGCTCCTAGATCATGCGCAGCTGGTGGGACGACACCATCTGGCAGGACAAAAGGGGGGGGGGGGGGGGGGGGGGTGTTAGAGAGGAGAAGGAGAATTGAGGTGCTCAGGGTCATCCCGGCGGCTGTTTTGAGTCGACTCAAAATGCTCAGGCTGCTGCTCAGGGTCGGGTCATCCCCGGCGGCTGCCTGCTGCTGCTCAGGAGGCATCAGCACAGCTGCTGCCTCCTCCCCTGACTGCTCCTAGAGCATGCGCAGCTGGTGGGGGGATACCATCTGGCGGAGAGAGAGAGGGGGGCAGGGAGGGGGGAGGAAAAAGGCATCCTGCTGAGGTGCTCCTTTCCGTTGCTCCTGGATCATGCGCGCTGGTGGGGGGATACCATCTGGCGGAGAGAGAGGCAGGGAAAGGGACAGGGCGGGCAAATCTTTCAGCAGACCGGGCGGGAGGACACAGGGTGGGAGACACGGCACCCAGGCGGTTGACGGCTTCAGGTCAAGGCACCTCCTCTGCTGTGCTCCGCCAGCAGCAGCAGCAGCAGCAGGTGACAGACCTATCAGTGGACTGCAGAAGCCACCACATGAGCTCACCTTGTTCGAAGACACGAGGGCCGAGGACACCGCGCCAGGCGGTTGAGGGCTTCAAGACACTTCCTCTGCTCTGCTAGCAGCAGCTTCTCCACTTCCGCCACCGCTGTGTGCATCCGCACCTTGGGGGGAGGAAGAGTTGAGGGGGGGGGGGGTTCGAGGAAGGGATTTAAGAGACAGTGGGGGTAGATAGATGGGTGGGAAGGGAACAAACCTCCTCTGCTCGCCAGCAGCAGCTTCTCCACCTCCGCCACTGCAGTGTGCATTCGCACCTTGGGGGGAGGAGAAGTCGGTGGGGATAGCGGTGGGGGAGATGAACACACGTGGCGGCCAGATGGATGGAACAAACCTGTTTTGTTCAGCAGCAGCAGCTTCTCCACTCTACCTCGGCACGAGCTCCTTCCTGTCGTGCATGTACTTGGCAACAGCAGCGAACAGCAGCGAGCGAACAGAAGGGAGGGTCATTGTCGTCCTCTCCCCAACCCCAATGCCCCATGCACGTATACCTCATGCCTTAGAGTACCAATGGCAGCACAGAACACCTTGAGCACGTGTCCTCTCGGTTGTGCATGTACTTAGCAACATCCAGGTCATGTCGTCCTCTCCCCAATACTTACGTGCGATGTACCCACATGCCTAAGAATTGCCAAGCGCATGCAGCATACCTTGAGCACGTGTTCCTCTCGGTTGTGCATGTACTTGGCGACATCAGGGTCGTCGTCCCCCCGGTACTCTATGCGTGATATCCCGAGCTTGTCCACACCTCCTGCACCTTGGGCAGCTTGGCTGGCGGGCACACAAGAGAGAGGTGATAGAGCACAAGTTGAAGAATGGTATGAGGGAGGAATGAAGCAGTGGGAATACTCTATGCTGGATATCCTGGGCTTCCACACCCTCCTGCACCATTGGGCAGCTTGGCTGGCAGGCAGGCACAGGGAAGGGAGTGACGGACGATAGATTTTCGAGTCAACAGAAAGGCGCCGCACCCCAATACTCTATGTGCGATATGCCGAGCTGGTCAACCACCTCCTGCACCTTGGACAGCTTGGCTGGCGGCAGGGAGGCGAGCAAGGGAGAAATAGTAGATCGAGAGGCGAGCATGCCTTTGAGTGCCCCGCATAAGTCTTTGAGGGCACTCAAAGGCATGTCTCGGCATGCTCTCACGTGCTCATGCCGATAGATATGTGCCGCAGC